CGTAAAGAGCTAGGAAGTAATGGCTTACCACTTTCTGGAAGAAACTCATCTTTTTTCAGAAACGTACTTAAGTATGTAGATCCAAGCTTTCCTGGATCCCTTAACTCCCGGAAATGATTGCTTCCTAAATCTATGTAAGCAATTGTCTTGCCCGATCTTCATTCTTTTCCAGTAATCTAAATACTCGAGGGATGTTCTGTTGACCTCGGTTTTTTGCATATCCAGTTACGGCCCCATTAGATATACACAAGTTTTTAATTTCAGCAGGACGAATACAGAGCATAATCATTACATCAGCTAGGGCCTGCTTGTCAGGTATATTGGATATGTCATACCCATCTAATCTTTCCTTAACTGATTCTAATGAAAAGTAGTCTGGAAAATCGATCCCTTCATTTTCATGTTGCTCGCTATGCTCTTTTTAAACTTTATTGGATAATCTAGTTACCTCTGGATTCAATATAGCAAAAACTATTTTTTCTAAAGCATTGAGGGCTCGTAATTCTCTTCGAAGCCTAGAGACAGGATAAAGCAACGACAGGATTTGGGGCAGTTTTGACTAAGGTTCTAGATATTGCTTTTATATCTCTTTCACTAAGTTTATCTTTCATAATATGCTGAGCCGTTTCTTTAATAGTCTCTTCAGAACTATCAGATACTTGGCATATATTCACTTCTTCAGCTTCTAACCTTCCTTCTTTGAGGGTGCTTGACTTTTGCATCGCCCGATTCTCTAAAGAGGAATCAATGCAAACACCTGCTCTTTGGTAAAGTTATATCCTTTTATAAGATGATTACGAGCCTGGCGCCTTCTCTCTTTATTATCTGTTAAGAGCTCAAGCATTTCTGGTGCATGTCGGCTAAGTTCTTCGAGACTTATCTCAGTAGTGAGTTTGTAATCTGTAACGAACTTGGTTGTAATAGCGGACATAATAAGGTATGTAGAATATAAGCGATAGTTAGATTAATCTTTCTTTGTCAGATTATATTATATAGATAAAGTTCAATTCGAAAAAATATCTCTCCTGAGGCATCGCATTTTTGAATATCTATAATAAAAGTGAAGATGAAG